AGAGAGAGAGAGAGAGAGAGAGAGAGAGAGAGAGAGAGAGAGAGAGAGAGAGAGAGAGAGAGAGAGAGAGAGGCACATGCAGAACTATGTCTGGGGGAACATGATTTTGGTTGAGGAATCGGCAGATTAGAGAGAAGAAGACTGAATGCCACGCGGGCCAATACCATCATGAGGGCCGATAAAGAAAAGACGAGTATACGAGCTTGACTTATAACTCATTACTATTGAAGAGCTCCTTAGTATTAGTTTGTAACTTAGTATACACTTCTATAAAGTACAGTACTTCACGCTGTAGGATTCGCAAGGAATCTGTCACCTTGAGTTTAAATTTATCAATATGCAAAAGGGAAAAACAAGTAGTACTGTTCATCACATGGAAAATCATTCAATCGCAGAGTTATTATTAATATTGTAGCGCCAATCTAGCCATCACACGTGAGCACCAATATAACCCCCTATTTGGGTACGGCTAGAATAAGCATTTCCATTCAGTCTTTGCACCTCTGAGTCCGTCTTCGGCCTTTCGGGATCTTTTCTGCATACCGCACAGCCCCCGGAGAGACGAAGCGTGGTTCGGTGTTCACCCTTACGCAGGCCCTGCCAGGCAGAGTGTTGAAAGAATCCCCCTCCCCCTTGGCTGCTGTAAAAGGACTAGGACCAGCCCTCTTACGGTGCCACGTAAGCTGTCAATATTACCCAGTCGAAATTCTTGTGCCTTGTTGCCTTTCTGGGGGGGCTTTTACCGAAATCACGGCACAAAGTACAGAGATTTCACAAAAATTACGGTTAGTACTTCAGAGTCTTCAAGTTGATCTTGAAGGGGTGCGAACAATGGCCATGGGCCCATCGGCCCATGGGGCCATGGGACATGCCAAGACTTGTCTGATCTTCACTCTTCTCATGGGCCCATGGGGATGTTCTGTTGGAGTGGACTCAGCAGTTGAGAAGGACGACCAAGAAAGTCAGCACCAGGCTAGCAGCGACTCGGCATCTCCTCTTGTAGTACGGCAGCAAACCGTAGCTTGTAGTACGGCAGCAAGCCGTAGCTTGTACTTACTTGGTCGCCGGCTTAACTTCTGGAAAAACCAATAAACTGCAAACTTCTAGAAGTTCTAGTGGTTTACCGGCAGTTCAATGCATGAGCACCATATTACCATCATACCATAGTAGTCTATACTGGAGAGGATACGGAGTTTAAAAGGTGATTTCAGGGGGGGTGTAGGGGGGGGTAGGGGAGGGTACTTGGCGGCCCACTGCCAGAAACAGCTTGTGAGTCAGGTGACGTAGGTGAATGAAGATGGGAAAAAAAAAGAAAAAAAAAAAGAATGACCGACAACTAGTCCACCCTGAACGAATGGCCACATAAAGATTATGAGAAGAGAAGATGGTAATTTAGGAGGAAGATTAAAACTACTTAATTATCCAGTTCGCTGACTTAGGCACTTGACAATGTGTGAGGGTCTAAGCTCCCCTCCTCGAACACCCCACCCCCCGATTTTTTAAGTTTACAACCCCTCAAATTGCAAGGGTACGACTGTTAAATTTTTAATGATACAGTCAATTCACATCCTGTGCCCTTCTCGGGGGTCTGCAACAAGCTCCGGCGGTGACCACACCTCCCACAGGGCCACAGGCTCCCACCTTCTGACGGATTATTTATGGACGTTGCCATTTTTCTTCAACCCTTGGAAACCCCTTTGCACACCACATGAAGCTACCAGGACCGCATTTCTGCCGAGTCGGACTGTTCTTTGGGGAGAGGGTCACCTCGGCGACAGGGAGCTCATACTCCACCTGCTTGATCACAATCACATTGCCGGATATCCCCTTGGTCTGGAGGACGAGGAAGGCAAGCAGCTTCTTTGGGTTCGCAGTGGAATATCCGAGGATGCTTTCTGCCGTTCTTCCAAAGCAATCCCCATCAGCTTGTCGAAGCTTGGGGTCCATCCCATCCATCAGGATGGGGTCAATGTTGCTGGCTGCGGTGTCATGGAACACCAGTTCGACTGCTGGATACGTTGCATCAGCAGCTGGAAGAAGCTGGCCAAATGGACGACCAGCGTCCCCATCTTCAGAGTCTGAGGAAAGGGCAACAAATGACAACAGCAGTACATACTGGAATAGGTTAGCATGATCCATCCTAAAACAAAGGAGACGTAGAATTATTGCACAACACTGACATGGCTACAGCTGATTCCTTTTTCATTCTTCTTCGTCTTCCTCTTCGTCTTCATCTTCTTCTTCTTCTTCTTCTTCTTCTTCTTCTTCTTCTTCTTCTTCTTCTTCTTCTTCTTCTTCTTCTTCTTCTTCTTCTTCTTGTGTATGTGTCAGTGTGTGTGTGTGTGTGTGTGAGAGAGAGAGAGAGAGACAGAAAGCTAGGGAGTGGATCTCACGCATCAACCACTCCCACTCTCGATTTTTCTCACCCCCCCGCCGGGCCCGCCCCTCTCTTTCTCTCCATGGAAACAGTCTGGCACCGTCATGCTTCATTTGTGGAGTTTCGTACAGAGTAGATGACAACACACAGCCACAAATTGAACACAAACTTCCACATACACATGCACTCACACACACACACACACACACACACACACACACACACACAAAAAAAAAAAAAAAAAAAAAAAAAAAATAGAAAGAAAAAAATCACAGATGGAGTAGAGATGAAGTGGTGGTATGCCCACCTGTTGGGTTTCNTTGCATCAACTTCATGTTTGCTGTTAATCCAACCAACGATTTCTTCCAACGTACTAACACGTCTCCCCAAACTACTTCCCCCTCCACCATTATACCTGTCTCTTATACACATCTAGATGTGTATAAGAGACAGCACACACACACACAAAAAAAAAAAAAAAAAAAAAAAAAAAAAAGAAAGAAAAAAATCACAGATGGAGTAGAGATGAAGTGGTGGTATGCCCACCTGTTGGGTTTCCAAGAAGACCCAAGTCCTCTGCGGCAGCAAGGAACCTCTCGTACTGCGGACTTCCGGTCTTCAAATGCGGATTATGCCGCTTGCGGTCGACAGACAAAGTCGACATTTTCATTGGGAGTGCCTTGTCGAGGAACTCGCCGGAGCGGAACTGCTCGATGGCGCCGATGAGACGCTGCACAGCGGTGCCACAGCCAGAGCAGGAGTATATCAGTGCAAAACGTGAGCGAGTACTTTTTCTTGATGCCAACATCAACCAGCTGCAAAAGAATCAGCCAACTTGCTTTCCATTAAAATACGTTGCCTATCGTGCTTTTATTCCACAACAAAATTAATGGAGAAGGACTGCTGTAAGATTACATCCCTTTGAAGCCTTCCCATGATCCCATCCCAATCTTTCGATCAATTGATCGCAATGATAGGCGGCCTAAGGTCTTCGTTCCTTTTCCTAACTGTCCTAGTCGCCCTAATTATAACAGTTACTTTACAATGATTCTTTTTCTTTTGGGTATTTGGGGAATCTTTTTAAATAGAAAGAATATCCTTATTATGTTAATGTCAATTGAGTTAATGTTACTTGCTGTCAATTTGAACTCTGTTTGACTGCGTGGGACCCCTGCTCTTTCACCAGCTGAAGCATTTGCAGCTGTCCCTCCCGCCGCTCCTGGTGGATTCACAAATCAATCAGTCATTACCAACTCACCCAGTGACACGGCAAGTGTACTAGTAAATATTCAAATGGCAACATTGGCAAGCATTTCAATGATAAAGATCATTAGAGTATATCCAAAACCAAGCCAATGAATGATTACAGCATAATATTATATGGAAATTCCAAGTCAATCAATCATTTGAGTAGATATCCCAATTCCAATCCACTCCTCCTCGATGATGTACATCATGACGTTCTGGTCCTTATCGACCTTACGCAGCAGGTTTCGAGAGATATCCGGAAGAGACGTTAACTCACCTCTCTCTGGCTCTTCGGTACTGCCTTGGGGGGTTTCAGCACGACTTCCATTCGGATATCTTTTGTCTTCTTACTATACCAAATCTCCTCCCTCATAAAGAGCACGTTTACAAAAGCCTGCCGCAGCTTGTTGGTGGTCTCATCAGTAACATAAGCACCTTTCTCGCCTGCAGCCGCTGCCTTAAGGATGTCCGCGGCTGTTTTGGGGCTATAAGCAACCCATTCACCATCTTCCCTTCGGTAAATGATGATATCCAAGTGGGAATCCTTATACTGCACCTGATTTAAACCAAGAAAAAAGTCAAAAGAGTTTCAATGTTCGATTCACTGCAACTCATTCTTCTTCATACTCCTTTTCTTGTTCCTTTGCATTCCTTCTTTTCTGACTTCTCTCTTTGTGCTGGTTCCTTCTTCTTCTTCTTCTTCTTCTTCTTCTTCTTCTTCTTCTTCTTCTTCTTCTTCTTCTTCTTCTTCTTCTTCAGATAAACTGACTTGGCCACTGCACATCTCATGCTATTGAATCGGACGCCTCCGTTAAACCTCTACATCTTGATTTGAGTTTTTTTTTAAATGTTCGCCGTTCGGAAGTTTTAGCATTTAACAGTTAAAGAGTTGAGGCATGTGATTAACCAGAGACTTGTGAATTTGACCTTACAGGAAGACCAGTTTCTTTTGAGATTCTAAATAGGATACATTTTGAAGCTTGTCTTGCCAAATTAAATGTCCAGATAGCTGCACTTTGTGCCTGGAGCCTGGAGGCTCAAAAGAGTCAGTCCAGTACAAAATATCGGTAGGTCACACCATATTAAGTCTTTAAGTCTTCTGATCTCTGGAGAAGACTCGCGGAGAGTGTCATCCACGATAGTATAATTATGTCAAACACAAATCACGCAATGAAATTAAATGAATTCTATTACGAAACGTCATCAGTGTCAGTGTGTCATGCATGGGATTCAAAACAACGAAACTAGTACCATCGTTGCCCAATATAGAGCACGCAGTCATTACCACTGTTTGTAGATTCAGACTCTTTTCAGAGTGGGTATTCGTTCTTAAAGTTGCTTTCTTTCTTTCTTTCTTCTTCATATTTCACAGAGTCCATGGCGATGCTGGGCATTCAAGATGAAATACGTCAATGGTGCACTGAAAGCGAACTTTTCGGACAAGGCGACGGATTTCTGTTCTGCTAGGCTGGGTCTGTATTCAACAGTTCATGGGTGTACCAAGAGAGTCTGACATGTTTTGACAACCATCCTTTTTTTGAAGGGGGGGGAGGGGGGGGAACGGCTCCTGGGTCACACCTCTAGCGTTTGGAATAGGCAACTTCAGCAGTTGTCGAAACAGGGCGGAAAAAAAAAAGGAAAAAAAAAAAAAAGGAAAAAAAAAAAAAAGGAAAAAAAAAAGAAGAAGAAGGGAAAAAAAAGCCGCCCTGAATCTGCATTGGGGCCACTTCAAAAAAAGAGGCAGCGTTTTTAACCCCCCGCTAAAAAAGTCGGACATTTTGGAACTCAAACAATGACATAGTAGGCGCCACTCTGTCTTTTCTTGCCCATTTCAAACTAAAATGGATGACTCAGGAGCAGTTTCTACTTAAAGAAAACACCAAGGATGTTCCCGTTATGAAATGCGGGACCCTAAACCCAAAAGCCTAGCTCAGTGGTGGGGACCACAGTCACCAGACGCATGAACTGTTGAAAATGGAAATACAGACCCAAGCTCGAATCCAGATAATTTATGGAACTTGACGAGTAAAACCAACTATTTCTGGGGCTGGTCAGCTCAATGATGATGTCTCAAGGCGTGGGACTCCAGTAAGAGCAAAGACTGCATTGAATGCCTGAATGTGGATGTGTTTGCAGGGAGGTGCAGAAAATTGCGATTCATCTGCTTTTCTGCATCTCTGCATACTACCCATCTAGATTCACGCGCCTAATCCTATCCACTTTCAAATTGCAAGTGGGACCTGGCCTGGGGTGCTTGACATGAACCGCATGCCATTGATTAGTAAGGAGGTATCTGCACTCCACCACTCACAGAAAAAAAGGGTTGGGGGGGGGGGTGCATATCGACTCCACATATTAAATGAGATTGAAGACATCAATTAATATATGAGCCACTTGAAAGTGAATGATCATTGCCGACTACAGAACCCAGAATCTCTTACCTCAGAGAGTGCATCGGGTTGGCTTTTCTTCTCCGTACTTTCCTGCAAAAGGACCAGCAGGCGAATCCAAATACCATACAAGTGAACGATGGAGGCTTAAACCAGCATTCTTAGGCCCCCTCTTACTCGAATGAATATAGCCCCGCCTGGCAGGCCGACTCAGCCACCGCCTTAAGGGCCTCTGCAACTTTAGGTAAGAGGAAAAGAGGCTTTGACCGAGGGGGAAAAAAAAAGGGAGAAAGAGGGAGTTCTTGTGGTATTCCTTTTGGGAGAAACAAACTTAAATTACTTCGTCGACATAACACCCATAAAGGGGGTCAGGGGCTGGGCATTGGGGGGGGGGAGAGAGGAGGAGCAAGGGCTAGAACCTTTTCCTTGAGCCTTTCCATTTTCAACAATGAACCCAATGTCAATTGAATTGGTTAGGCTTAAAAGAACTACCCTTAAAAAAAAAACAAAAAACAATGAGAGCTGGGAAACGGGCCCAGAGTCACCTCACAGTAATTGCTGGTGCTCTGGGAATGAGAGAGGCATCTCCGGGCTAGCTTATTTCCGGCCAAATTTTGAAAAATCACTCTGTTAAACCACCAGTACCTTTACCAGCCATTTTGCTGTTTCCCGCAGGTTAGCACGGAGGCCGCACTTGGCCTCCGGCGGCGGCCAGATGCACCGACTCGGCGCACAGGGCCAGAGGCCGAACACAAGCCCACTCTGAGACTCAAGTCAAACGCTGCCAACAGTGCCAAGAGAAATACCCATTGGAAAGTAAGGCATTCCAGAGGATTGTGCTCGCCTAACTGTTGTAGAAGGCCCAAGGAAAAGTGAAAAGAATAGGCGTACTATTGTTTCACCTTTTCCTTGAGCCCTCTAGTCGGCCTCTACCTTATAGATGTTTGAAATGGGCCACATAGCCACATACACAACTGGAACGACCAAACATGATCTATTGTCGACTATGTTACCTGAGTGGGACCAAACATGATCTATTGTCGACTATGTTACCTGAGTGGGCCAGGACCACCTCCCCACACAAGACGCCTTCGGTCGGGCCGCCAGTGCACCAGCCATCCTCAATCCTCAAGTGCATTACTAAGTCCCCTGGTGATGGCAGCATGCGGAAGTGGGGAAGTGCACGAAACGCGGTGTAGGGACATCCGCGGCAGGAATCCTGTTTTCATTGTTTACTTTCTTCAAGGATTCCTGTCTCTTCGCCAGCCCCCATCTCTAATCTCTGCTTTCCTCCTATTTCCCCTTCAACTGCTGCCCCATGGTTTGTGCCGTGGTCTGTAGAAACAGGTATGTCCTTTACACACATGTGTGTGCCTTGCATCGGTCAGGCCTCACCGTCCACATTTTTTAACTGGGTTGGTTACTTGCACAATTGTGCCTTAACCCTTTCCAATCATCCTCTGGTGGTGATCACGTCCAGGTGCATGCACGTCCCGTCTAACTGCAGCCACTGCAGCCAGATACACCTAGAAAAGTTCGGGCTGGAGCTGGTGCCCCCTCCAGAATAGAACGGGCTGTGAGGGTGTTTGTGAAGAAAAAAAAAAGAAACTGCTCCCGAGCTCGCCGCCCACACAGCCTTTCAAAAGGAGGCATTTTTCAAAATTTGCCAGATGGAATTCTAAAGGTCTATCCTCCAAAGAAAAGCCCCTCTTTGCCACAAATAGGGACTCGCCTCACATCCTTTCAAAAGGAGGCATTTTCCGAAATTTGCCAGACGGAGTTCGAAAGGTAGATGCTCGAAAGAAATCCCCCCTTCGCCACACATACTTTTGAAACCGCGCCAAAACAGAAACAAAAAAAAACAAAAGAAAACGAAAAACTGCGACAACTTGTGAGGGCGTCAGCTTAGGGACCGTGACAGATAGGCCTCAAGATGGCCATTTTTCGAATGACCGGCAGAGGGCTTTTGAAAAGAGGGCCTTGACAGGCGGGAGGGGCATTCCACTTCGAAAGTCCTTTCGCACGGGGTTCCTCTGACAACTTTCGAGACCAGTTCTCGAAATCGGTTTTCGAAACACTGTGTGGCGAAGAGGGTGCCTCTACTTCCCTCGTTTCGAAAGGCTGTGTGACGAGCCCTTTTTTCAATTTCAAATAGGCAAGAAAAGCCAAAGTGGCGCGAATGTCATGGTTTGAGTTTCAGAATGTGCAAGTTTAGCGTGGGGGTTAAAACTGTGGCCCTTTTTTTCGAAGTTGCACCCTTGAATGCAGATGTAGGGCGTCGCCACACCACTCTTGAAATGGTAAAATGTTTCCAGAGTTGTCAGATTTTTTCAGGAGTAGTTCCTCAGAAGTGCTGGGTGGCTCTGCTGCCAAATGAACCTGGTCTAGTCCATCGTCCTTGTTCGTAAGTCCACTCTTGAGAATGAATGGCCTGACGGATCCAACCGTGGCGTCAGGGTAACGGTCTGACATCTCTTGAAAACCAAGTGTCCGTCAAGTGCTCCCATGAGGACCCTTGAAAAGAGAGGTATTGCAGGCTGGGGTTTTCAGTGTTTCCAGAGCTATAGGGCCTGGTTGCACTACCCTCCATACGCCACTTTTGGTGAGAAGGCGCCTGGTTGCACTTACTCACCAAATTTGGTGCAACGAAACCTGTCAGAACTTTTGCCCAGTTTCCTTTTTCAATCCGCCACTGTGACAGAGTGCGGTGAGTTCCTGACTCTATACTGCTATTTTGTGTAGGGTCATCCTCGTGACCCTCCACAATGACCCTACACAAAACTACTTCTTGGAGAGTGCTGTGCTTCACAAGTGGCGATCAAACAGACATTTTTATTTTTGGGGCAACTATGGCCCAGTCACCAAAGCTGTTTGTAATTGCATTTGAAACTGCGTTTTAGCAGTTTAGTCAGGGCCCGAGTTTCAATTGCATTTGAAACTCGGGCTGCCTTTAGCTAGCAGTTCAGTAAGGGCACGGAAAAGCAGATTAAAAAAAAAAAACAAAAAAAACCCATCCCTTATGCTGTGATTACGGTCCAATACAGGATGCTACAGTACTTGTCTGGAACTGAATGAAGAGAGGCAGTTAGCTGCCTCGCGTGGAATCCCCCCTGCCTGGGCTGGCAGGGCGCTACAAGGACCTCACAACAAGAAACAAGAAAGGAAAACGACCTGTTTCATGTTTCTCACTTCCTGGCCAGATACATTCCTCAAAGCACTGGTGAAGTGAGGGCCTTCCCGAAGTAGGTGTATTCAAAGTTCCTCTTTTCTTTACTTTTTTATTTCTTCTTTTTCTTTTTTCTTTTTTCGGCCTCCATCCCTGCCCCCCACTTCTTCGGAGTAGGATACTCTTGAGACTTCGCGTTTGCCTGTGAAGGGTAGTGCCTGCGAATCTCGGCGGTGGCCAATCTGGGGTGTGGCCGAGAGACATCTCGGCTGTGGCCGGGC